TTCTTGGTGGTGTTCTTGGTGGTGTTCTTGGTGGTGTTGCTCATGGTCAAAATTGCACTGCTTTTTTTCCAAGATACTCAGTCCATTGATCCAAGACTTCCCAATCCCCTTCCCTGTATTATAATGAAAGGAATGGGGCACTTGTTCAATTTGTAGGAAGGAATTGATGTCTTTGTTTTGCTGTTACACTGCAGCTTCTTTTGTTCTGTTTTTTTGTTGATTTCACAACTGCTTAAAAAAAATCTTAAAATTATATTTAACCTTGGAAACAACAGCAACAACACCGGAAGCTTCTTCTGGTCCTTAAATACTGGAAAAGGAACTGCATGGAGATGCTGGGGAATCTGCTTTAAACTGAGTATGATGTATGATGTAGCATATTCTCCAGGCTTGTTCTTCACTAGGTCATGGTTGAATATGGGCTGGGGTTGGTGTTATTGCATTCCGACAGGAGTGTCAGAAACAACAACAATCGTGGGGATGGATCCAGCTGTGGCCGCATCTGCACTCAGCTGGAGAAAAATACCGGGGTTGATACTGATAGAATATCGGCTGGGGTTGTTGTTATTTCATTCCAGCACAATTGTCGGAATCAACAACAACCTGACTGGAAAGCTCTTCCAGTCTTTCTTAAAATACTGGAACTGATACTGGAACTGCATGGAGATGCTGGGGGGGAATCTTCTTTTTTTAAAACTGGGTATGATGTAGCATATACTCCAGGCGTTGTTCGTCAAAGGATCAAAGACTAGTAGTAGTGGTAGCAGTAGGAGGAGGAGGAGGAGCATATTGCTGTGTGATGCTGGGTGGTGGGGTAGGTATCTGCTGTTAAAGTGGAATAGTACTAGTAGTACTAGTAGCTACTACTAGTATCACTACTAGTAGTAGCAACGAGAGGATGCTCTGCCGAATTTATCTTCGACTATTGGCTTAAAGTTACCACTTCTTACAAAAATTGGATCAACACAAGCGACAACAAAAGCACGGAAGGCGTTTCGACTGCAAGATTCAAAGTCCGGCGCTGCCCGCAATATATCGACACTAGAGACCTTTTCAAGTTGTATTTATCGTTAAGATCGTTAAGGAACGAAAAGGCTATTAAATATTTATGGGTCCAGTTATACCGGAATATCTTGACTCAAATGGCAGAACACCAGAGCATGGACGGATCTCTTTACAGTCGAGATACTGAAGATGAGAAGTCCTTTGAAAGCAACGAGGACAACATTTTTATGACAGATAGGAATGTTGTAGGCAATGCCAATAAAAAGAATTCCAAAGATAATGATCAAAGCGACAACGATAATAAAAGTAGTGCCGCCAGAAGCCGTAGAATTGCTGATGCCAGAAAGAACAGCGAAAATGCCGAGGACGACGATGACAACGACAACGACAAAACCGACGACGAAAATGACAAAGGGAATACCAGCGATAATACCATCTACAGCAAAAAAGAAAACGACAAGAAGAGGAAAAAGCTCCCGCTCAGAAAGAATCTAAACGATGACACGTTGATAGCTATCCAGAATTACCTCAAGAGTGGTGATTTCTATAACAACACATTGGAATACGAAGAAGTTGCCTATTTTTCGTCAAAGATCCATCGGTACACCATAGAACGTACACGGGGACGCCAGGGTCTCCTATTTCAAGATGGGACTATCCAAAATGGAGACGACTTACAGGGTGATATAGAGCCAATCGTTATCACAGAGGAAGATGCAGCAGAAGAACTAGTCTACAATCAAGTTTATCAAAAAGAGGAGTTTCATGCTGTTGCGATGGAATTTTCAAAGGCAGTTATGGATGGGGCGCTCCAAATGGCGAAACCTACTTTCGTATGGCATAACAAGACAGCTAACTGGTTGAAACGGGCCGCTGGGATGCAACGCCAATACGATCCTTACGAAACGGGGGAGAACCAACAGTCGCGCCACCTAGGGTCAACCTATTCCGAGGATTCGGATGACGGGGAAGGCGAAACTGCTAACGGAAATAGCAATGGCGGAGGGGATATCGCAACGAAGCGAGTGACACGGAGGCGAGTGAAACTGACGCGCTATAAGAGACGACAGGAGAGATTTCAAAAGGAGAATGAAAACTTTCGGATCATATCGGAGGTTGCTTTGGAACTATCGAAGCAGCCAAGAAACACGGATGACTGCTCCGATGTTTATATGACGAATCCCATTGCTACGGAAATCAACGGCGAGTCGCTTTATCGTTTCCCAACTCTTGAACAAACTGGTTTGAAGCGAATCTGCATGCAGAATGACATAACATTAGAAAACGAGAGCGGCAACGAATCAAAAGAGAGCGCCTGTGAGTCCGCTGTCCTCCCTCCAGTCGTAGCGCGGTGTGGCTTGGAGTTTCGTCGACGAGCTCTAAACCTAGAAGAGGTAAGAAGAAAACATCGAAAGTCACGAAAGGGAAGAGGTGGTGGAGCAGGTCGAGGGGCACAAGCCACGAATCGACTTTATGCTAAAAAATGCAAGGCATTAATGACTGTATTATCCAATAAGCTTGCACGAAGTTGGACCATTCATGAATTCTTTTACAACGATTTGGATCGAGAATGGTACCAAATCGATGGATTTATTGCAGACCTTGTTAGACTTGGATTGCCAATCAACTCCAACACGAAATTGACAAAACAAGAATGGAGTCTTATTCGTCGAACGATACGACCGCGTCCTCGACTGTTTTCGAAGCGTTTCATAGCAGAACAGTTGAAGAAGAGAAATCACCACCGAGCTCTTGTTCGGAGGCTGCAACAAGATCCCGAAGTGACCGAGTTCTCACCAATCTCTACCGGAACCCATGTTACTGCATACCACATCCGAGGCAGTACGATCGGCACAGGAAGGGTTTTGCTTCACGACCCTAAGACACACAATTACCTCATTCAATTTGCTGACCGTAAACTTGGGTGCGAGGTTTGTCCAGATTCGGACGTGAGAGTTTCTCTGCCAACCAAGGCCACAACCGCAAAAGCCTTCTCTCCCCAATTGTACGAGCCGTGCAGAGCATTCTCGGCCGACTTTTCAAGCGAAGGCGACAACACAGAACTGGTTTTGCCGAAGGATATCACCGGAACTCAACGTGACGATGAAATCGATCGAGAACTTCTAAATAGTGTTCTTGCTGTGACCATGGAAGCCTTTGAGAGAAAAAGAGCAATTCTTCAGGCATTGGAAAGATGCGCAACCGATGAGGATAATGACACCTCCAAGCATGCCACTTGGCTCTTGGCAAATCTGGATCAAATCAATCGAACGCTGAAAGCTGCTTCGATGCATTTACAGGTTTTGTATGGGTCGCTGTATGGGTCTCCCGTGTCGGGCACCGAAACACCCGAGATAAAGCGGGAAAAGATGGCTCTACGCACAGAGCTCCCCAAAACCAATGAATTTCGAGAATTCATGGCGTCTCTCGCCTCCGCGACAGACAAGATAGGAGAATTCGCTTTTTCTTTTTTGGGCGATGGAAATGGTGATTCATCGAACAAGCGATTGCAGAGTGACTTCTTGGATAGTGCAAAGTTGCTCTTGATTGCAAATTATCTAGCCGAGACGTCGTCAACCTTACTGGCGTCTGGAATCGAGAAAACAATTTACTCCGGGATGTTGAATCCTGCTCTCAAATCCTTGCTGGACAATTTTGTCAACAACTGTCTTCCTTCAACTTCGGAGACATTGCTGGTTGGCAAACGGTTGAAAGAAGAATCCGGGATTGAATTCGAGCTAAAACAATTAGGCTTGGCCGTGGGAATGCTTCGGGCCGAAGTCGCCATTGCCGCGGACGAAAGCAGGGCTTTTGAGTTAAATAATGCAATGGCCTGAAAATAAGTCGAAGAAACCTGTTTGTTGGAAAATTGACCTATCCGGGTAGGAGAGGGGTTGATAATTAAAAAATAGATCAAGCACTACCAGTGTGAAATAAATCGGGAAACACAACAATGTTCTTGGAATCGATCCTCTATATTCTTACGTATCGTCTATCGATCGTCGAATCGCTTCGTTTATCTGGTGTTGGTTCCATGCTTCTACCACGTTGAAATCTCCATTCCCTCGAACGCCTCGCGGAACTCGTACTTCTCCGTTGTCGCGCCTTGCATTGTCGCGCCTAGCTACGGCGTCCCTTGCTGCCGAGAAGAGCATGGCGGTAGGGACGGCCAATTGTAGGACGTAATAAAGCGTCGGTAGAATCACGTTCATGAGGACGTAGGTAATCTTGCGCTCCAAATATAACACCAAACCCAGGTGTCTCCCCAACAAGCAAGCCAATATTAGCATCGTATCGCCGTAGGTTAGATCCGGGCATCTCCGATTGCCAATGATATGGTCGATGTACGTAAGTATAGAACCATCACTTCGCAATGCTTGCCGCCGCTCCCGTAATGCCTCCCCGCCATCGAACGGAGACGCGTTGCCGTAACGAGCACCGTTGTTGCATCTGTAGGCTCTGCAGGTGGTCTGGAGCCTCATGCACGCCCAGCAAAAATCCGCTTTGCAGTGGGAACACCTCATGTGGTTGCATCCCTCCGTTTTCACAATGGGAACGGAACAGGAAGGGCAGGGCCTCGTGTTGGCTTTCAACCAACGGGACGATTCATCGTCTGCGAAATGGGCCGACTCAGCAGGCAAGACGAAGTCGTTGTCGCAACAGGGACAACCCACCGATATGGGACGGAAGAGTGCCTCTCTTGCTCTCGAAGCTAGCCAGTAGTGCATCGTCATGCCCATTTTTACAAACACATATATAGGAGCTACCATGCAATACAAATCCAGGTGAGCCGACGGGGACTTGCTCCTCGAAATCATCCACACCAGAGCCGAGTACGAGACCAGAATTCCTAGAAGCCACACGTTCCGTCTCAGCAGTATCTTGATGGCCTCCTCTCGTCGCTCCTGATGCTGCGGTGCCAGGCACTCGGCCGTCACGAATCCGCCGCCGCCGTCGCAATTTGGGCACGACTGGAACGAGGGGATCGCTCGCAGCAGATGGTCGCGGGTTTTCGTGTCCCACTGCTGGATCAGTTCCTTTTGGTTGTCGCCCGCCATCATGGCGGCAATCGCATCCCTTTCTCGGAGGGTCTTGAGGCAAATAGGACACTTCAGGGGGCCCGATTGCTCCGGATCGGCGACGTGGCTGGCGGCGTACCGGGCCAGGCAATCCTTGCACACAGCGTGCCCGCACCACGTAACGTGCCACTCCGACGGAGCCTCGGGCTCGCAGAAACAAATCGGGCATGACGTTCCCTTAGAAGGTGCTTTCACCAGGAAGCGGTTGGCAAAAACTCGCTTCATTCCGCGAAAGATGTCGAGGTATTCGAGGTCTTCCGTCCCGTGTTTTCGACCCGCCCATGTTTGCCAGTTGTCCTTCCCCGCGGTTGCGGCAATGGCCGTCTGCGCGAGATGGTCCGAGGCCGTCTTAATGCTTTTTCGCTCTCGCTTGGAACCTGTTGCGGTGCTGCCGTTGTTGCGGTTCTCGTTCTTGCTTGCTCCGCTCATGGTCGAAAGATTGTTGTGCGGTTGCGGTTGCGGTTGTGTTTCTGTTTCGTTCTTGTCGCACGACTAAGAATTTATGAAAACAAACAAAGCTCAGTACAGCACGTACTCGTACTTCTTTCCGGATCAACGGCACGTACGATAGGGTACGATACTACAAGAAACAAGAAGTTCTGTACATGACAGATCATTTTTTGTTGTTCTTGGTGTAGTTCTTGGCTGGTGTTGTTCTTGGTGTTGTTCTTGTTCTTGTTCTTGGTGTTGTTCTTGGTGTTGTTCTTGGTGTTGTTCTTGTTGGTGTTCTTGTTGGTGTTGTTCTTGGTGTTGTTCTTGGTGTTGTTCTTGTTGGTGTTCTTGTTGGTGTTGTTCTTGGTGTTGTTCTTGGTGTTGTTCTTGTTGTTGTTCTTGTTGTTGTTCTTGTTG